TAAGTTTTTAAATTTTCTCACTTAACAAATAAAACCTTCCTACAAGTACAAAATAATTCTTATCAATCTAGAAAATTAAGCTAATAAATATGGTGAGGCTAAAACTCACTTAGAGGTTCAATATTATGCATTGTTTTAGTAAGATTTCAACTTGAAACCCTAAATCTTAATCAATTACTCCATTACACATTTAAAATGGAGTCAAGAGATTGTCATTCTAATAGGACAAATACTCTTTTTTTTTTGACGCAGAGTCTCGCTCTGTAGCCTGGGCTAGAGTACCATGGCGTCAGTGTAGCTCACAACAACCTCAAACTCCTGGGCTCAAGCAATCCTCCTGCCTCGGCCTCCTGAATAGCTGGGACTACAGGCATGGGTCACCACACCTGGCTAATTTTTTCTATTTTTAAGAGACAGGGTCTCACTCGTGGCTCAGGCTGGTTTTGAACTCCTGAGCTCAAGCAATCCTCCTGCCTCGGCCTCCGAGAGTCCTGGGATTACAGGTGTGAACCACCGTGCCCAGCCTGCTGACAAATACTCTTAAAGATTACAAATACATAAAGTACTATGGTTTTGATTGTCCTAAACATTTCTATACTTAATTTTAAATAACAATACCTAATACTTATATAACATTTTCTATGTGCCAGATTCTGTTTTAAGTGCTTTTCATATATTATGTATTAGCTTGTTTAATTCTCACGATCCTTGACCAAAAACCTCAAGTGGGCCCTGCAGGCTGCCGGGCAGTCACACTGCACGCCACAGACCCCACGTGCTCTCACACTTTTGAGTGTATCTTGCACCTCCTGCTCTCTTAACCTCCCAACACCTCCTCCTGGCTCATTCTCAGCCAGTGACGTGCTTCACAATGACCCATGGGGTCATTCTTATCAGCAAGCAAACATGCTGTGATTTTTTTTCTCCCATCTAATAAACAAAACAAAATAAACATTTTGGACCACATTTTCCCTGCCAGCTACCACCCTATTTATTTCTTGCTCACCTCTGCACTGAAACTCCTTGGAAAAGTTGTGGTTTTATTCCTCTGCCTTTAGTCTCTTATAACCCTGCCTCCCTGGGAGTCCTTCTCCCCCCAGCACTCTGCCCACACCGCCCTCCTCCCCTTAGCTGACCCACCAGCCGCACTGGACACACTCCTCCCCTTCTCTTCCTGGAGATAACATTTCTAGAACATCACCTACTCTGAGTTTGCCTCCTACCTCACTGGTCACGCCAGCTCTGCCTCCTTCATGGTTTCTCCTCCTCCCTCCTCTCTATTCATGTTGGATGTCCTTGAAGCTCTTCTCTTCCCTATGTACTCTCATTCCATTATTGTCTTTAATACATTTATTTATATGCCTATGAATGCCCCAAATTTTTATTGTCAGCACAGAACTCCCCTCTCAATGCCATACTCAAGTATCTAACCACCTACTCAAGTTCTCTACTTGGAAGTCTAATAGATAACTCAAATAAAGCATGTAGTCCCAGCTGCTCAGGAGGCTGAGGCAGGAGGATTGCTTGAGCCCAGGAGTTTGAGGTTGCAGTGAACCATATAGCTGGGACTATAGGTGCGTGCCATCATGCCTGGCTAATTTTTCTCTTTTTTGTAGAGATGGGGTTTGGCTCTTGCTCAGGCTGGTCTCAAACTCCTGACCTCAAGCAATCCTCCAGCCTTAGCCTCTCAAAGTGTTAGGATTACAGGCATGAGCCACTGTGCATGGCCAATGTCATACTTTTAAAAGCCAGTTTTTTTAATTTATCCTTCTTTTTTCTTTTTTTTAAGAGATGAGTTCTTGCTCTTTCACCCAGGCTAGAGTGTGTGGCACAATCACAGCTCCCTGCAGCTTTCCACTTCTGGGCACAAGCAATCCTCCCGCCTCATCCTCCTGAGTAGTTCTAGGACTATAGTTCTAGGACTACAGGTGTGTACCGCCACACTTACCTAATTTTTAACTTTTGTAGAGATGGGGTCTTGCTATGTTGCCCACTCTGGTCTCAAACTCCTGGCCTCAAGTGATCCTCCCACTTTGGCCTCTCAAAGTGCTGGGATTACAAGTATATTATTTATCCTTCTAACTGCTTTTTATTTCTTTCTTTTCTACTTCATTAATTTCTTATTTTATCTTTATTAATTTCCTTCTTTTGTTTATCTTGGTCTTTTTCTCAGTTCTTAAGTTGCAAATTTAGTTAATTTATTTTCACTATTTTTCAAACAATAAAATAATTTGAAGTTATATATTATCTTTGGAATGCGGATCACAATAACCTGTAGGTTTTATTATAAAGGATTTCTCTTTTAATTAATTTTATTATTATAATTTCTGGTTTGGTTTCCTCTTTGACCCTGATATTTTCTCCCACCCACTTATTCTGGCTAATTCTTACTAATTCATCAGATTTCAGCTCAGACGTTATTCCTCAGGGAAGTCTTCCTGATCCCTGAATTGGGTTAAGGTTCCTTATTGTAAACTCTTATAGAATCGATACTTCTTCTTCTTAATTCATAGCATAAACAATGATTTGTGTGATTATCTGTTTATCCTCATTCCTCACCAGACTATAACCTCCTGAGTGCAAGGACCACGCCTGTCTTTTTCACTCTTGTAACCTCAGCAAATAAGCAAGTTGCCTGACACATAGTAGGTATGCGATTTGTGTTTATTGACTGGAAAATGGTTGTTAGTGGGAATGCAAAAGAGCACAACTCTTTTGGAGGGAAAGTTGGCTATATCTAAAAACCAAACAAAACTTGATTACTTAAACGGTTACCTTTTGGCACTGCAATCCCACTTCTAGGATTCTAATCTAAAGATACACTGGAAAAAATACCAAGATGACTTATGTACAAGGTTATTCATTGGAGCATTGTTTGAAATAGCAAAATATTAGAAACAATCCAAATGTCCATCATTAGGAGACTGAATAAACTATGGGGCGGTCCCGCAATGGGATACTCTTCAGCTGTGAAAAGAAACGTGGAAGTTACACTGCAATGGAATGATCTCTGGGATACGTTGTTAAATGTAAAACACAAGGTGTAGAACTGAACACACAGCGTCTGTATTTTGTGTGACAATAGGTGGGGAGGGCGTAAATAAGTATACAAATCTGTTTACATTTGCAAATTGAAACACTGGAGGGATAAACTAACAAGCAAACAATAGACATGATGACTTGCAGGGGAAGGCACAGGGTGGAGGGGCAGTGGTGGAAATGAAATTCTCTAAATACATATTTTTATGTGGTTTTCCCTTGGAATGAGATATTTTACACATTCAGAAAATGGCATTAAATCAAAAAGAAAGGAGAAAAAAATGGAATTCCTAAAACTTAAAAAATAATCTGAATGAAAGACATTAGAAGTATATCAAGTTGGTGATAAAACCACTCAACGAGGATAATTACTTCAAGTGGCTTTACGACACAGCGTATTGGCTGTACATCCTTAAAGAAATATTTTCTAAGGACAAATAGAGCTTCAAAGAAATCTTAGCAGCTTCATTTGGAAGTCTTATTGTTAGCGAAAATATTGACATTATTTTTGAAGCAATTTTACAAAAATCCCAGGATAATGCAAATAAGTAATTATGTTAATGCCAGAATCTAAGATCTTCAACATATGAGAAAGAGATATGAGGATAAGACCAAAGAATTAAATAAAAACCCTGAGATGTTATATTTGAATTGGAAATATCAGCATAAATTCATAATTCTTTTGTTTTTCCTGTTCAAAAGTATGAATTTCCCAGCTCTATCCACTGAAAAAGCAATAACCCACTATAGATGAGCACACCTCGTGCCTAGCTTGTGCTCACCAACTACTGAGAACCAGGGCACCCTTGGGGGAGTGGCTGATTCCAGGTGTGGGGCAGGAAATAGGCAACATGAGCCTGGGACATCTTCTTGGACCAGAAAGCAAGGACGTTGTCGAAGAGTAATGGGATCACGTCTAAAGGACATAGGAGCCGACAAGAAGGGACACTCACTGGCTGAAGATGGGACAGTTTAAGCATCAGAAAGAATAATGGCTGAAATTGATTGAAACATACTGAGTATATAAACACTCATTTATTCGTATTGAGAGAGAGAGAGAGACAGCGAGAAAGCCCTAAATCAAACAAATGTCGTTAAATACCATTAGAGGTAACCAGGGCATAATTCCCTGTCTTGAGAATTAGCAATGCAAAGAAAGAATTAGGCCTTTATCCTGTCATTTTTTCTACTATTTCATCTCGACCTGAAAGCCCCAGTTTATGAGGGAACGTTCTTCATAAAAAAATCCCAACTAATATAATAAAGGATTGATAGGATTAGAAAACCACCTTTTTTACAATCCCTAAAAAAATAGTAGATTCAGGCAATAACTACCAATGGATGAAATTATTAATATGCAGGGCTGACGAGGAATTTCATATAGGGACGTCAGAGTGACACCGCCTGAGCCCACTGACCAATCCCAGCACGCGTGCGTGTCTCCTGAAGGAGCCACATGCAGCGCCCAGCCCCACCTACAGAGCATCGGCCGGACTTTGGATACCCCCAAAAAGCAGGTCCTAGGAGAGAATGTGGGTGCGAGTAGTTTATCTGGGAGATGACCCCTGGAAGCACTCATCTTTAAGGGAGTAGGGAAGTGAGGCGGGGAAGAAAGGACTCTGGTTAAAAGTGAATTTGTGCGTGGGTCCCCGGCAGGCAACAGGGGCTCGGTTCCTCTGACGACCCTCTGAAAGACTGCGTGGAATAGTCTTTCAGACTTGGAGGCAAGGAAGCTGGGGTATTTGGCCACCAACTCCCACTCCACACTGGTCAGTCTTCTCAGGGGGTCTTAGCTCCCAGCTCTTCTCAGGAGCAGAGAACGCCCCCAGGTGGCAAGACTCAGAAAGGCCTCCGTACGCGTGTCTCCAGGTGGCCTCAGGTCTGGGCAAAGGAACACGGTGAGTCACTGACAGCTCCCAATAGTGCTGGCTGTGGTGCCAGAAGAGCTGAACCTCAGGGCTGGTTTCTATTCACAGGAAATATAGCGGATGGAGAAACAAGGTAAATGACACCACAGAGAAGCAAGTGGACACACCCTGATTGTGGGATTCTGCAGGACAAAGGATTTCTTCCACAAGGGTGTTTTCTGTTCCATGTTACCACTGTGGACAACTGGGCTTGGTCCCGCCGGGACCCCTGTGAGGAACCAGGAGGAACGCTCTCAGGATTGTTCCAGGTAGGGTCAGGAAGCTGAGGGGCTTATCCACGACTCAGTCTCTCAGTGCTGAGGCTCGACCAGGGGCTTCCTGGATTTCCAAGAGTGTGTGCTGGAGGGTTGAGCAGCCTTCCCCAAACAAGGAGAAAGCCCTGAGGCAGGGAAGCTGGGGGAAGCTGCAGGCCACATTTGAAGTGGGGTTCAGGTGAGGTGCACGCAACTGTCCCCCCAGCTGCCCCGAGTCAGGTGGGCTGTGGCCCCACCATGTGTGTACAGGACCTTGGTGGATTCTCACATGGGCTCCTGCTGCCAGGTGCAGTTCCCGCCTCACTGGGCACCTCCCACAGATTCTTCTGGCCTTTACCAGGGACCGGAATTTCTGTTTGTGGCTGTGACATGTGTGTGGAGGCCCTGGTGCATGTGTGATATGAAAGCGCTGTGGAGCCCTGGCTTGCTCTCAGAGCTACTAGGGATTTCCCATGGTGGTTTTGCTGGGCCCAACCCACTTCCTCCTCACAGACATGGGCTCTGTGAACACGGAAGTTTGATCAGGCCACTTCCCTGCTTAAGGGCGTCCAAGCAGCCAGACCCTGAGGTGCTGGTGTGGGGCTGCAGTTCAGCTGCCTGGGTCGTGCACCTGGGCGGGCGGGGCTGGCGGGGTGTGTGTTGGGGGGCTGGGCCTCTCCACAGGCCCGGGCAGGCACTGCTCTTAGGCCTCTGCCTGAGCCTCTGGCCCCATCCACCCTCTAACCCTCCGGTCCTGTGTCCTTCCTCCTCCCTCAGAATATGAATAGTTTTCTGCCTTAGTATCAGGAGCTAGTTTTCAAAACAAAACCCACCCAAACCTAAAAAAACGTTCATGAAGAGATTTTAATTACAAACATATTATAAAGAAACATTAAAAGATGGATAAATAGAGAACAAAATTAATCATTCCTTCATCCTAACTCAGCAGCTGTGGTCAATTTTGATTATTTCCTTTCAGGCCTTTTTAAAATAAATTTGAAAAGATATCATCTTCAACTGTGATTTTATGTCCTGCTTTTTTATCTTAATAATAAATCCCTTCAATGGCTTCCAACCTCAGAGCAAAAACCAAAGTGTCTTTGTGACGACAGCCTACCAGACCCAGCTACAAGGCCAGGGAGATATGTCTACGGGTTCCACCTCCCTCTGGGCACCTCCTTGACCCTGGTTCTTCTCCCACCCCTTCCCTTCCTCCTCCCGGCGTCCTGTCACTCTGCTCCCACTACAACCCATCCTCATCCTCGATTTCCTGAACATTCTGGGTGTGTGCTCCCAGCCCCCCTCAGAGCCTTCACATTGACAGTTTCCAGAATGTCTTCTCTCAAGAGTTTGCATGGTTGACTCCTCACCTCCTTTAAGGGTTTACTCCGAGATCACATTCTCAGTCAAGATTGCCGTGATCAGCCACCCAAATGGCAGCACCCCAACTACACTCTCAACCTCTACCCAGTTTCTCACTGCAACAGCAGTGTTGCAGAACCACTCTCTGCACCATGTTGGACAGAGCCCTTTACCCGTGATTTTCCTACTGTCCCCTGGTTTGTCATTTTGGTTGAAGGCGACTTGCTGAGTTTAGAGGTGTGCACATTTAAAATTATGGAATTGCCAAATGGCCCTTTACCAAGTTTTCTCCAATGACTACCTCCATCAATGGCCCTGGAGAGTGCTTTCTCCTCTCACATGAATTTATATTCTTGCCAATTTTCTAAGCAAAGTGTATCTTTTATTGTTGTTTTCACTTGCATTTTCTTAATTAGAACTGACACTGAATATCTTTTCAGATATTTATTAGATGTTTTAACTTATTCTGTGAATTCTCTTTTTCATATCTTCTGCTCATTTTACTATTGGGTTGTTGGTCTCTTTTTAGTTGATTTACGGGAGCTCTTTATATACTGTGGATCTATTTAGCCATGGTAGGTTTTACAATTACCTAGTTCTACCCAAGTACAGGCTGTAGGGTGTTTCCACTTCCACACTACCACCTCTCCTGTTGGTGTCAAAACAAAGCAAAACCGCCCTCCGGTTTGGGAGGCTAATGGGTGTCTTGAGCCAGGACAGGGAAGGCATTAATAGGGATACGTGTTGGGGGGAGTTCCGCGCCAGAGTCTCGGCATGTGGAGGGGCATCGCACCCGCGAGCTACTCCAGACTGTCAGCAAGGCCCTTGTCAGACAGTGAAGAGCTGAATGGCTAATTTGGCCTTCCAGGGTGGCCTGGGGCACCCATTTGAGTGGCCCCAGAGGGACTGCAGTGGTGGCCCAGTCCCCAGGAAGCCCCCCAAAAGTGGTGATGGAGGGGGCTGAGCTGTCTCTGAGCACCAACTCCACTCCCCTCTGGGTGGGCCTGCAGGTCCAGTTCCCTCAACCCTGGCCCCCTGACCTCTCCGAGGTCACGCTTCACTCCCACTCCCTTTCTCTCTCCCAGCCAGGGACCCCATTCTCTTCCCCAGGGGGCACACTGTCTGCGCCTTCTCAATCTATAGTTAAGGCATACATTTTCCCTCCAGCTTCCTTCAAGACCTTCCCCTTTGATTTTCAAGTGCATTTTCTTCTCTCAGCAGAAGCAGCCTCTTGCAAATCAAAGACTTTGCCTTTCAAAAGTGTGGTTTCTGATGTGGGCTTCAGCAGACTATCTGGGAAGCTAAAAAAACAATAACATCTAAACATTGACTGCTTCTCTCTCTTTATATTCTTGCTGTAAAAGCACTAATCCTCCTGGAGGTGAAGCGAAGCCTCTGATTGATGTGAGGAAGTGGGGAAATGAAAGCAAAGTTGTTATTATTTCAAGGCATGCTCGCGTTGCATTCCCGCGCGTCTGTGGCGGGTGTGTCCCCGTGTCTGGCGCACATCCTTTAACTTGGTGCGAGTCTTCTGTCATTCAGAAGTTAAGTGCTTTTATGTAGTCAATTCTGTCCACTTTTCTTACTTTTCTTCTAATGCTTTTATGGGGTTTTGTTTTTTTACATCTAGTTCCTTAAATCAAAAGGATTTTGTATCTGTGTCTGATAGAGTTCAAATTTTATATTTTTTCGAACTGGAGAGCCGGTTTTCCCCAATGCCATTCATTAAATAGTCTATCTTTTCTTCGTGGATTTCAAATGCTACACTTATGATAAACAGATAGATAGATAGATAGAACTTACCTTGTTCTATAAGGCATTTTTATTTCTGGCTTGACATCTACCTACTTTTTATTCATCGAAAATGTTTTTTCTTGTGGTGAAAGGGGGGGGTGAGGAATTACTGTTTAATAGATGCACAGTTTCAGTTTGGGATGATGAAAAATTTCTGGAGGTGGATGGTGGTGATGGTTGCATAACCATGTGAAAGTACTCAATGTCACCAAACTGTACACTAAAAATGGTTCAAATGGTAAATGTTATGCTATGTATATTTTACCATAATAAAAAATACTAAAACATTTTTTTCTTGGCTATTTTATTCTTATGTACTTTCTTTGTAATTTTTCCTTCCGGAATTAACTTGAGAATCAGCTTGTCAAATTCCATAAGATATGCCTTTGATATTTTGATTGGAATCGCATCAAATTTATAGGTTACTTTGGGGGAACTGACGCCTTTATGGCACTGAATTTTTCCCTCTAGGAGATTGGTGCATCTCTCCATTTATTCAAATCTCCTTTTATTCCCTTCAATAAAGTTTTATAATTTTATTCCTGTCATCTTATTCCTAGATATGTGGTGGTTTGCGACGCCACTGGGAATGGAATCCTGAGGACGGCCCAGCCCCTGGGACGCATGACTGGCTCCAAAAGGCACCTGGGGCAGGAAGTAGAAACCACAGGATCATTTCCCCAAAGCCTGTGCAGCAGGCAGCAGGTGGATCCAGGCGCAGGTCTGGCAGCCAGAGGGGGCGAGAGGCTGAGCTGAAGGAGCTGGCAAGGTCAAGAGGAAAGGCCTTCAGGATCAGAGAAACCTGACTTTGTCATCAAATGCGTCAGGAGCAGGGAGACAGTGAGATGCTGGGGATCGGGGCTGATGCTCAATGTTAATACGCTGCAGCTAAAATGCCTGATTCCTGCCGCAGAGCGGGCTGTGGCTTTGGAGCCAGGAGACCCAAGTTTGGACCTTGACCCTGTCACTCACTGTCTAAGTTACCCAGCTTCTAGGAAAGCCAGTGTCCTCACCAGCAAAACAAGGGTGAGTTCTAATTATATATGTAATCGTTTAATTATTTGTCTGCCTCCCACTGGACTGTAGCTCCACAAGGGCAGGGACCATGTGGGCTTAATTCATTAATGTGCAGGGTGGCTGCCAGCCCAAGCAGTGCTTTTGAGGGAATTAGAAAAAGGCATCCTTTTGGGCAGCTGCAGCTCTGTGAGTCCACAGCTTGGCGAGCAGTCCCTGGGCTGGATCTTGGCCGCTGCTTGTCCTGGGCCGGGTGCCCTTGTGCCACGGGCAGGCGGCCTGGCATGTCTATCCAGCATCTAGTATGCACTGGACACCTGAGAGGTGCTAAAGAAATGTATGGAGCACAGATGACTAGATGTGGGAGGCGAGCAAGGTATTTCTGGAAGACCCTGAGGCTCAAAAAGAAATCCAGGTACAGAATAACATGAAATTTTCCAAGTACTTGATTTCATGTATTTCTGCGAAGGCCAGACAGAGGTGGTGTCCGCTGGTGCCCAGGCTGGGACCCCTGCAGGCACAGGCCCATCTGATGACCTGGCCCCCCCATTGGCAAAGGCCTGGAGAGCCTCCATGAAGCATTCTGCCTAGGGGCGGCGGGGGCCTGAGTTGGTAACGAAGCCTTGAGCAACCCAGGGATGGGCATGTGGGGAGGCTCCCTGAGCGGGGGAAAGACGGTGGAGACCTGAGGATCAGGAGGAGCCAGCCACGTGAAGAGCAGAGCAGAGCAGAGCAGAGCAGTCTAGACAAACGGACAAAGGTGCAAACGTCCGGAGACTGGACAGAAGTTGCTTGGCCCCTTTGAAGAACTGAGCATTGGCCAGAGTGGCTGGCTCTCCATGCATCACTTCACAGAACCTGCCCCACTTAGGGGACCTTTGGGATTTCCTGCAGCTGTCCCCCTCTTCGTGAACTTTGCAAAGTTCGAGTAACTGAGACATACCCCCTGCACCTCTGTGCCTGCCAACTCGTACTTCATGTCTTTGTAGGGGGCCAGCCAAGGGGTTGATAGAATCATCCTATGGAAGAAATAAGAATCCCAGCTCCACTGGGGGTTGCCCATCATAGACTTTGTCAATTCCTTCCTGCCTCCTCCTCCATCTGTGAAATGGGAATAAGAATACCAATCTTGCCGAGTTGTTAGGAAGATTCTGCCCTCAATAATAAAGGCAAATAGTGTAAGAACAAAGTAAAGACAACTAAGAACTCCAGGGAAAACACAAAGATGCAGAAGGAAGGACATATACAAGCATACTCCTTGAGTCAGCAATACCAAATATTTAGATGGCTATAGGAATCCTTAAGCTTGTAACTTCTTTTTCTTGTCTTTCTGGGATGCCAGGAACTTCCAATACAATGTTGAACAAAAGCAGTAACAGTGGGCAAACTTGCCTTTTTCCTGCCTTTGCAGGAAACGATTCTACTGTGCACCATTAGGCATGACCACTATAGCTAAAGCAACCGTGGGAACGGTGAAATCAGAATCCTTACAAAATTTCTGAACCTTTTCTCCCTGCAAAGGTTTCAAGCTTTTTCCTTGAATCTGCATCAATCATTCCATGACTCCACATCGCCTATTGCATAAAGTTTGGGCCTCCTGAAAGCCCAGTGTTCAATATCTCTCATCCTGTCCCAACCTGGAGTCCTCAGGGCTCACCCACGCATCCTATTTGAAACATCTGGACGTTCCAGATCACACCTTTGGCGACATTTTGACTTCTGCCTTGGCGTAGCTGTCCCATGCCTTCACGCCGGCCCGCCTGCCTTTGCTCAGGCGCTTTTCTTTGCCTGGGATTCCCTTCCCCTCCGTCCCTCCGACACATCTTGCAAAAGCCAACCCACCTCTTCAGGGAAGCTGTCCTCTCTCTCTCTTTAGCATTAGATAGAAGACTCATCTATAGTCCCAGACACAGGGCCCAACACCTGCTCGGATCTTTAAGGATCTGTTGAATACATACATAAATGAACCTCTAACTAAAACTCTGGGTCACCATAAGGAAAAAGTCCTGTTCTCCCACCAAATCCAGACTGTGCGCTGCTTCAGCCTCCAAACTTCCCACACATGTTCAAAAATTTTGTCTTTTGCTTTTGTACTTGAACAACAGTTTGGCTGAAAATAAAATTCTTGAGTCACACTTTCTTTCCTTGATGACTTTGTAGGTGTTGCTCTATTGTGTTCTAACGCCGGGTGCTGCCGGGAAGTCAGGGGCCAGCCTGGCATTTTCCCCTAACAAGTGACTTGCCCCTCTCTTCCAGGTGCTCAAAGGATTCTTTCTTAACTTTAAGATCTAACAACGTTGGCCAGGCGTGGTGGCTCACATGTAACCCTAGCACTCTGGAATGGCAAGGCGGGAGGATCGTTTGAGTTCAGGAGTTCGAGACCAGCCTGAGCAAGTGCGAGACCCCGTCTCTACTAAAAATAGAAAGAAATTAATTGACCAACTAAAAATATATATATAAAATTAGCTGGGCATAGTGGCACATGCCTGTAGTCCCAGCTACTCAGGAGGCTGAGGCAGGAGGACTGCTTGAGCCCAGGAGTCTGAGGTTGCTGTGAGCTAGGCTGACACCACAGCACTCTAGCCCGGGCAACAGAGTGAGAGAGACTCTGTCTCAAAAAAAACAAGAAAAACCAAAAAACATCTAACAGTGTTGTATTATAATATATTTTAATATCGATAATTCTGGGGCTTTTATTTGGTGTGGAATTACATTTTTTTGTTTTTTAATTTCAGAATATTACAGGGATACAAATGCTTTGGTCGCATAAATTGCCTTTGCACCAGCTGTGATATTGATAATTCTGAATCAGTTTTCTGGGTCTCATTAACTTTTTAATCAGTCTCCTTTTTTTCTAAAACATCTTTTGGAATTATATCTTAGAATATTTGATGCTGTTTTTTTAGTTTACTTCTTCAGAGACTCTTGATAAGTGTATGTGGTCTCTCTTTGTCATTTTCTCTCTTATCATTTAAACTTTACAAAAATTTTTTTTCATTAAGTTTTTCTTCCTTTCCCTTGTGTTTCAGCAGTTTGTTCTCTTTCGTGCTACTTTCACTTTGACTTTCATTTCTATGATATTGTCACTTCCTTCTGCTTTTTCCTGAACCCCAACAGCTTGTGCTTTATTCCCTTTTGTTGTCTTGCTATTATTTCTGTGAGTTCTTATTTTTCTTCTTTGTACTCTTGATTTGTAAAAATAAATGCTTCATTGAGGTGTTTTGTTTTTCTTTGCTTTTATTCTGGTAAATGTTCTTTGAAGGTTTTTTGTTCTTATTGGTTTGGTTTCTTTTCATTTCTTTTCTTATTCTTGCCCTTTTTTTGTTTCTTGTATCTGTGTACAGAGCTCAAGAGGGATTAGTGTCGGTTACTAATATTTGAATGATGCGAACTTCCCCTGGGCCAGCTATTTGCAAGAGGTTTCTGTTGGAGAGGGGCCAGAACTGTTTCCAGAATTTTCCTTATGGCTCAGGGTTGTGTAAGCGTCCTTGGAGCCTTTACTTCTCCACAGCTAGTGAAGAGAGGGCTTTTCACTCTGTTGCCCAGGCTGGATGCAGTGAGGCACGCTATGATCCCAAACTCCTGGGCTCAAGTGAATCTCCCTGCTCAGCCTCCCAAGTAGCTAGCACATGCCATGACGCCTGGCTAATTTTTAAATTTTTTTGTGGAGAAGGGGGTCTTGCTATTTTGCCCAGGCTGGTCTCGAACTCCTGCAGTTGAGCAATCCTTCCACTTTGGCGTCCCAAAGTGCTGGGATTATAGGCATGAGCCACCTTGCCTGGCCCTGTGTGTGATTTTTTTTTAGTTGGCCAATTAATTTCTTTTCTTTTCTTTTTTTTTTTTTTTTGAGACAGAGTCTCACTCTGTTGCCCAGGCTAGAATGCTATGGCATCAGCCTAGCTCACAGCAACCTCAAACTCCTGGGCTCAAGCAATCCTTCCCCCTCAGCCTGCTGAGTAGCTGGGACTACAGGCATGTGTCACCATGCCCAGCTAAGTTTTTCTATATGTAATTTTAGTTGGCCAATTAATTTATTTCTATTTTTAGTAGAGATAGGGTCTCGCTCTTGCTCAGGCTGGTTTTGAACTCCTGACCTTGAGCGATCCTCCTGCCTCAGCTTCCCAGAGTGCTAGAATTACAGGCGTGGACCACCACGCCTGGCCTGTGTGATTCTTAAGTCAGCCTCAACTCCTCTGTCTCATGAAAACAAACAGGTCCAGAGTAGGTGCTGATGCCAGCCTCTGCCCTACTGTCCAGTTCCCTTGTGAGGTCCCCTCCCATCTCCTCGCAGGTGTGCATTCTTCTTAAACTCCCTTCTGAGCTTCCCTGCCTTTATCTGCCCTTTGTCCTAATTGTGATTTCATTTCAAATTTCTCCTGGTTTCCTCAAAGATGGAGTTTGTGTTTTTTTGTTTGTTTGTTTGTTTGTTTTTGTCTCTTTGTTTTTTGTTTGAGACAGAGTCTCACTCTCTTGCCTGGGCTAGAGAGCCGTGGTGTCATCACAGCACACTGCAACTTCGAACTCCTGGGCTCAAGTGATCCATCCTCCTACCTCAGCCTCCCGAGGAGCTGGGACTAGAGGCTCGCGCCACCACATCCGGTTAATTTTTTCTATTTTTAGTAGAAACAGAGTCTCCCTCTCGCTCAGTCTGGTCCCGAGCGAATTTGTATCTTTTTTCCCTTCTTGTTGCTTTCTGAGAAGACAAGTGGGAAAGTACCAACTTTACTGTTTTCAAACAAGAAATTCCAGCTTCAGCGGCTTCATGTTGTCACCATTGCGGCTTGCCAACTCTGCGTGACCAGCCTCTGTTGACCTCATGGCCTTGCTTTCAATGCACTCTGTTGTGGCCACAGTGCCTCTTTCATGTCACTTTCTTGGAGGCTCCTGATGGTTCCCACCTTGGGGCTTCTACCCATTCGGTTCCCTCTACCTTCTGCTCTCTGCCGCCTGGCTGACTCCAGTTCACCCTCCAGACCTCAGCCGGAGGTCTCAGCCACCTCCCCAGGAGACCTCCCTGGCTCCCGGACAGGCTCAGTGACCTCAAGGAATGCTCCCAGGACTCTGTACCTTTCCTGGTGCACAGAGGCAGGACACATTTCCACCCAAGGAAGGACGCTGGGCCACTCCATCAGCCTGCAAGCCCTTGCTCAAGGTGCAAGCACAGTTTCCATCTGGCTTTAAAAATACTGGCAGCAGTGCTGGGGTCCCCATGCAGAGGTAACTTGAGTTCCCAGGGTACCCTGGGATGAAAGGAGAGTCTTGGCGAGGAGAGTGGAGGAAATGCCAGGTGCCTCCCTGCAGACTTGAGATCCGGTGCAGAGGGACAGAAGACACAGCAGGGCTGTGTCCTGATACTGTTTGGGCAAAACCATGGGCATTGGCCAATGGCAGGGTGGAGCTACATTGCCTTCCGGAGACGGCTTTGGTTTTTCTTTTAATTGTGTTTTAATTGCGCAATTCACATTTAAACAGCACTAAAGACAATGTTTAAAAAGAAAGAAAAGTCACTGGACCCCATCCATCTTACACATCTGAGTTGGAAAGAGCACGGGATGTGGAGCCCAACATACCAGGTTGGCAGCCTTCTCTGCCAGTGACTGCCTGGGCCACCTCGGGCAGGTTCTCTCACCTCTCTCTCTGCCTTAGTCGCCTCACCTGTAAAGGGGAACAACTCCTACCACCCAGGGATTTGGGAGAATTGGGAGATTAAGTGAGATAATGCACACGTAAGCCCGTGGCATGGTGTCTGGCATATGGTGAGTACTCAAGTAAAGTTTCTCTTTTTTATCAAAGCAACTGTTTTCATTTTCTGGTATTTTCTGCCAAGCTTTCATCAAGTCCAGATGAACATTTTGCACACTGTAATCATGCTTTAAGTTTAATTTTGCAGTCTGCTTGTAAACACACTATATCATAAGCACTTATTTCAACATTTTCATAATTATTTAATGGTGGAACATCATGCCATCGAACCAACGTATCATTATTTATGTAACCATTCTTCTGCTCTTGGACATTTTTTTGTGTTATAAATAATTCTGTATTGAATTCTGTATTCTGCGTTACTGTCGCTATCATTTGTATCAAAGGTTGTTGTTGAAGGTTGACTATTTTTCCATGTTGACTTATTACTTTTATGTCCTCCCTTGAATTGCCGGCTTACGACCTTTGTACGGATGTCTCTTAGCAACTCAGATATTTTTTATTGATGTATATGAAACATTTACATAATGTAGACATTAGCCATTAGCCATTTCCCCCACTCCCAGGTGATATTTCAATTTTAGTTATTTTTCTATTATACAAACTCTAAGTGTTTTATCTTTCCATCTTTGCATTTTTATACAACAAACATGTGAACATCCCATCTGGATGTTGGGTGTGTGAAAGGTACTGGGCATGAAAGGACACGCCGGTTCCTGACTCCAGAAGGCCTCAGCTAAGCTATGGACACAAACGTGAAAACAATGACAGGGTTGCTCTCATAAGTGCTAGAACAATAAAAGCTGCAACAGCGGCACCCGTTGGTTGAGTCCCGTCTCTGCTCCAGGTCCTGTTCTAAAAACTTGCATATATTATCTCATTTAAACCTCACAATGATCCTTTGACTAAGCTACTATTTTTATCCCCATTTTATAGACGGGGAGATTGAGCCTGAGGATGGTAACATGACTTACCCAAGCTCCAACAGCTAGTAAGTGCTGAGTCCAGTATTTGAAATCAGGCAGTTGTACTTAGCACTTGCCTTCATTGTTTTGTTTTTGTTTTTATTTATTTTAGAGATGGGGTCTCACTTCGTCACCTAAGCTGGAATGCAGTGGTGCAATCATAGCTCGCTGAAACCTCAAACTCGTGAGCTCAAGGGATCTTCCTGCCTCAGGCATGCACCACCACGTTTGGCTAACTTTTTTTTTTTTTCTGTAGACACAGGATCTTGCTATGTTGCCCAGGCTGGTCTTAAACTCCTGGCCTCAAGGGGGGATCCCCCTGCCTCAGGCTCCCAAAGTGCTAGGATTATAGGCGTGAGACACTGCACATGGCCAGAACTTGCCTTCTTAACTATTATACGAAACCAGCTCCCCAGGGCAAGGATGTAGAGACGGTGGCAATGATGGTGTGTAGGGATGGAGGTGTAGATCAACGCTGAGTGCTGGCACATGAAGACAGCTTCACCGTCCAGCAAGGGCTTATGGAGGAATGGACATTCCGTAAAGGAGGAACAGCTTTCTCAAAGGCCTGGAGAGAGAGCCCTTTGGGAGGCCGTAAGTTGGCCAGCAGCCAGCCTCAAAGTCCAGGTGCTGCTATTGTTACAAATGTTTTCTTTATCTGTTTACTCATCACAGGCTCCGTGTCCGGTACTGGAGATACAGTGATGAACAAGACATTCGAGGTACCTGCCTACATGGAGCTTACAGTCTACTTGGGGGGAACAGACAGGAAGGAAGATGTACTGAACATTTGCCATTCATCGCTGCTCAACATTTTTAAAAATCCCTGTCTACATGTTGGACTACTCCTGATATCTCTGCCAAACCAGCCTCTCTTGCAGCTAGAGTGCAGGCGTGTGGCCTCGGTTTCCCCAATCACGCTCACCTACCTGAGATGCCAACTGGGAGATGAATTATGTGTGTGGACACCTGCATCCTTTTTTGCTGGCCTGGTGGCAGCCGAAGGAACATGGTTCTGGAGTCAGCCACAGCAGCGACCCCTTCCCCGAGTCCGATCGGCAGCGTGCTTCTTGGAGAGGCTCCTGAAAGCTGCATCCAGAGCCTGTTTCTCTAACATCCCTGAATAAATTCCCTTCCTACTTAAACTAGCCAGGGTGGACTCTGTTGTCTACAAACAAGAATACTAATCAACATGCAAATAAATAAATATAGAGTTGATCCTCGAACAACACAGGTTTGAGCTGCGAGAGTCTACTTATACTCGACTTTTCTTCCGCCTCTGCCACCCCTGAGACAGCAAGTCCAGGCCCTCCTCTTCCTCCTCCTCCTCAGGCTACTCAGCGTGAAGATGATGAGGATGAAGGCCTTTATGATGATTCACTTCCACTTAACGAATCGTAAATGTGTTTTCTCTTCCTTAGGATTTTCTTAAGAACATTTTCTTTTTCCAGCTTCCCATACTGTAAGAATACAGTGTATAATACGTATCGCACACAGAATATTAATATGAGTTAATTGACTATTTATGTTATCAGTAAAGCTTCCAGTCAATGGTCAGCTATTAGTGGTTAAGTTTTTGGTGAGTCAAAAATCACACGTGGATTTTCAATTGTGCATGGGAGGTGTCAGCACCCCAACCCCCACGTTGTTCAAGGGTCAAACTGAGCACACTGAGGAAACTAAGGGGTTGAGGGGTTAAGAGCGTGGACCACAGTCACCCAGTGGTATAGCTGGATCCAAACCCAGGAGAATGAGAATCTGGAGCCCAAACTCTCATCCTGTCTGCTGCCAGCTCTACACGCCCACCTGGTGGGCTTGGTCCTAAAGGGGCTGCTCCTGCTCTCAGGTGACCACCCAGTCTTCCTCCTTTCATGCTCAGGCCTGGGAAGAACAGGGATTTCCTCTCTGCTTGTCAGGTGCCCGGGCTGCAGGTGGCTGGGAAGAGAGGCTTTGCACACAGTGCCCCGGCCCAAGGCTCTTGAGTTCTTGCAGAAACCTACTCTCATCTTTCCTTGAGAACTGCAATGTGATGGGATTATATATTTTTATTAATGCTATTGTCATGCAATTCTGCCCCCATTTTGGGGTCAGAAATGAGGGAGGGCCTGGGGGCTGGAGCCTGTGGGACCTGTTCCAGGAAGGGGAGGGGAGACACAATGCAGGGGTGAGGCCCTGAGATTGTGGGCCATCTAGCAGGCAGGCGTGGGGGTCCTGTAAGCCAGATTTATCCTTTGACATCGCCACTAAGACTAGCTGCAAAAGGGAAAACAGCGGCTCCTGCCCACAACTCAGGATCTGCTTTAATTAAGTGTGTCTTGTCCTGGGTGACAAAACAAGTTGCCGAGACTGCTGAGCCGATGGCACGGGAAGTCGGTGGCGCCGAGGTGGTTTATCCACCGGCGGGACCAGCCTGTTAGCAGCTCAAGACGAGAAGCGTTTTTCTGTTGATGCATTTCTTTGCATTTTCCAAGGCTGGTGGATCAATAGCTACAAACAGCTAAAATGGATTTCTGTCTCGGCTTCTCAAACCCTCAGACCGGAGGACGGACTATCAGGAGACTCGGGGTCCCATCCGTGGTTGCTGCTGTCAGCAGCTGCGATCCGTGACCTCGCTCCATCCTCACCCTCAGCCTTGTAAGTCTGGGCTGCTGTGCCTGTTTCAGAGATTTGGAAACTGAGGCTCAGAGTGGGAAGGCCATCACCTAGAGTCCCAGAGCTGGTCATTAGTCTCAAGCCTTTGCCAGTGTCTGCTGTGTGTTTGTGGTTGCCAACGATGTTATTAACATTGTCAGTTTCCCAGGCGATGCTTGCCCACGGCCCCACAGCCGGTGACTGGCTGGAGTGAGAAGCCAGCGGGTCGGATGGCGGAGCCTTCTGCTCTGAGAGTTCGCCCTGGGGACCCTTGGGAGAAAGGCCAGAGGCACCAAGATTCGTATTTCCCTGAAAGGCCCCCGAAGGGAGAGGCCGGCTCCTTCCCTACCCACAGCGCCAAGGGCTGCAGTTCCCGGCCCTGGAAGGCCTTGCTCCTGCTCCCCACGGCTGCAGCTCTATTTTTAGCCTTGAATCCATCAATAAACGGAGCCTGGCAGAGCAGCCGGCCTGATATTAAGAAGAGAGGGAAGGGGCCATTTATTAAGCACTTTCTGTGTGCCGGGCGTTACGTGAAGTGCTTTGTATGGATTATCTACTTAAATCTCTACAACATTCCTATAAAATAATGACTATTATCATCATTTTATAAATGAGGAAAATGAATCTCCAAGAGGCGAGGGAACTTGCTGAGGTTGTGCAGCTGCTAAGCCCCAGAGCCACCATCCAAATGCAGATCACACCAGGGGTCTTTGGGGCTCTAAGTCAGGGCCCTTCCTTTCTTACCTTCTGCCCTAATGAAACCTGACCCTGACCCCTGGGCTCCAGGCCCAGGTGGGGTGGGGGTGGGGCAGAGAGTCAGCGTGTAATCACAGTACTAGGGAGGTGCTGTCCGGCAGGAAGGAACCACTGGCTCCAGTGGGTTGGAAGGGAAAGGTTGTCTCGAGACAGAAACTGGGACAGGACCGTGGGGTCCCCCCAGGTAAGAAAGGAAGGGTCCTGCAGGCACAGGGAGCAGCTCGGCAAAGGCAAGGAGGTGCGGTGTGCAAGGCCTGCTTCAGGGACGGTGATCAGTCTGGTGGGCTTTGGGGGAGAAGGAAGGTGAGGCCAGGGGCATAGACCAGGGCAAGATTCCCAAAAGATCTTGAATCCAAGGAGGTTTCTGAAGCCTGGATTCTGGAAGGATTGTGAGTACAAGAATGACATGGTCACGTCTGAGCTTAGAAGGCGTGTAGACGATGGATTTGAGGGAGAGACTGCGGAGGGAGGTGACAAACAACTCTACCTACATCTAGTGATAAGTTTCCACTTACTGAGCACCTACTATGTGCACGAGGCATCCTATCAGATGCTTTTCATAAGTTATCACCTGAGACCCACAGCAGGTCCTCAGCCAGTGGTAGCTATTGGGAGGCTGTTGTCATCCCTCTTTTACAAATGAAGAAAACTGAGGTTTCGAGAGATCAAGTGATTGCCCAGGGTCGGTAGGATTAGAATCAGAGACGGGTGGATTCCAGAGATCATGACGCTACACAGCCAGATGGGCGGCTGTGTAATAAAAAACAGTCTCGGGCAAAAGGATGTTTATCCGAAGTCTAGGAATGGAGAAGATAAGGTAGGTTTCAAAGGTGATAAGAGAGGCAGATCTTTTTGTTTTGTTTTGTCCTTTAAATACATTTGTTCACACACACTAAGGACAGTGGTTTTGTCACTAAGCTTACAAAGCTTTTCTGGGGCTGGAACTGTAGGACAGACTCAAGCACGGAAAGGGCATTGTTTTTTGGGGGCAGTGGCTTGGGGAGGGGGGAAGGGCAGGGTCCAAAGTCCAGTGTGTCCTGCAGCTCTGAGGTCCCCATGATCAGAGGTGCAGCCAGGGATTAGGGTTTGGAGCAGTAAGTGGCAGGGGTGAGGGAAGGAGGGGGTGAACGCATCTGACATCAGTGGCTCAAAAATCTCCAAGGAGACAGGAAATATACTCCCCCCACAACAATGGGGGTATGTCAAAATGTCAGAGACCCAGGAGCCAACTAAAAGACCTCCTAGTGGCCAAAACTGGAAAAGTTTGAGCAACAAATTGAAGTAGCATAGGATTACAACCCAGAGCATAAAATAAATACCTATTAGTCCATACTGATATAAATAAATGATGTAAATAAATGAATGAGAAGGGCAAAATTCCCAATAGTTGACACAGATAGTCCACCCCCAAGGAGGTGGCACGTAATCCCCCACTGCTAAGTGTGGGCTGTGCACAATGACTCCTTTCCTAAGAGGGAAGGGGGGGGGGCAGGAGAAGAGTCACCTTTTCAGTGGAGAAACTTGACCAACACTACCTGGGCCAGGTGATCAGGTGATGCAGGTTGACATCAGCAGTGATAAGTCACACTGAGATCATGTGTCCATCCGCAGCCCCGCCAGGGTGCCAGCAGCACCTGGCAGCCTTGGAAAAGGTCCACCTTTCATCAGCACAAGCGCTCCCACCTGCAGGAGCCACAGCTCTGCTTACCTCCTGGCCGTGTCTGTCCACGTGCTGGCGGGATGAGGATCGGAGACCCAGAGCACGTGGCTGTCTCTCAGCTGCTAGGAGCTCAGAAGCACAGGAAATCCGGTCACTTAGCAGTGGCCTAGGACTGGAGGTGCAGCCATGTCCAGTGGCGTCTCCAAGGGCTCTGTGGGAGGCACAAGCAATGTCCCACACACTCGACGGTGATCTGCAGCCACAGAGTCGGTAATGACCACTGGCAGCAGGTATGACCTTGAGTGCAAAGGAGCAATAGCATTGAGAGGAGACCCCAAGGGGTCAGAGGGACAGTAGCACCTGGCAACCTCAGAGGGTCCCAGTGCTGGTGGTCCAAGGTGCAGCAGTGTCCATCTCTAGGCAGGGACTGAGTCTTGGGACACGGAGCTGCATGCCCTGTCTTTTGGAGCCTCTAGCCTGGGACCCTGAGAGGGGAACCTGGAAATAATCCAGATAACCATTTAGAGGACAGACACATAAATTCTGGAGTAACATACACAGCAGTCGGAATGGATGCCACATGGATAAATGCAGCAACACGGGTGGAACACGGCAATAGAATTTTGAGTGGTAAAAGTATATCCCAAAATACCACATTCAACATGGTATCCTTTCACTAAAAATAGAACACTAGAAAAAATAAATACCTTTGGGAAACAGATATGGATGTGATGAAACGACATAAAAAGGAAAGCAAAGGAGCACTGAAAACAGGATCCAAGCTAGGAGTCACTTTAGGATGAAAGTGGGGTGATCGTATCAGTAGATGTCAGTTCTTATCAGTATTTTATTTTTCATGTGGGGCAGTGGCTCCATGGATATTTTTTATATTACTAAAATAGGCACACAATTACATCCATTCATAAATAATTTTTTTTTATTTGACTTTTAGAAGAATCTGAAATTCATAAATAATTTAAGGAAGGCCTTGTATGGACCAATGATGAGAATTTGAATTATATACTCAATTATTAGGATAAACCTCATTCTATGCAGTTGAGGTCCAATGAAAAATGAAAAATAAGAGTATTGATTAAAAAATGGAAAAGTACATAAAATCACGATAAAGAAATAAAAATTACC